GTCTGGAGTTGTAATAAGTTTAAAAAAATGAAATGCCTTTGTAACAGATGAGTTTAATTTCGTCAGAAACCCGAATACTTCAAAAGAGATTGTCCAGTTTGTAAACGAAGTGCATCCAGTTTTTGCCGTAACCCTCTCTACTTTTTTGAACATGCTATGTGGGTGAAATGATGATACCATGCCAAGTTTCAACTTTTTCAGAGTTCATTTGTAGTGCTTTTCAATTTCCAGGTCATTTAGTTCTCAAAACAAATCATTAAATGCATGAAAAATAGCAAATGAAGGCAGAAATGGTTAAAAGTTGATGGCGTCGCTTTGAATGGTGTATACTGAACGCAAAAAATATAAGAGCATTTAGATCATGATCTTATATTTCTTTACAGTCTGAATTGTCAATATGATCTTATACATCAAAAATACTTTGATCATTAATGATCTTTTTGTGTACAATCTGAATTGTCAATATGAGTCCTCAACGATTTATAAACCGGTGAAGACTCATATTGCGGCCACAAATTCTACACATAGAGTTCAATGAAGACCAAGTGCTTGTGATAGTTTGAGAATAAACATATTTAAGGTGGTAAAATCCTTGTTAGGAGAGCGAGGTAGGACTAAAAACAGCTTGCTATAACCTCATTAGTACCGGTTCGTGGTACGAAACGGCACTAAATGGTGATGGTGGGGCCATAGGCTGATCACAGGCTGCCACAGCCTCTTTAGTACCGGTTCGTGCCATGAACCGGTACTAAAGGTTCGCCACGAACCGGTACTATTGATCGCCGCCACGAACCGGTACTATTGATCACATTAGTGCCGGTTTTTTTTACAAACCGGCACTAATGTGCTTCACATTTGACCCTTTTTCTACTAGTGTGACGTCGCAGCAGAAGAAGGCCATGATCGCCATTTCTGTCGACTGGCAGGCCGACAGGCAGTCGGAGGACGTGCAAATGGAGGACGCTTCCTCCGACGAGCCAGCGCCAACCTCCTCTTCCTCCGAGGCACCCTTCTCCTTCGCTTGACCCGCTGGTGCATTGCACCATGACTATCGGCGAGGTCCGTGCCCATTTATATGAACTTGTGCGGGAGGAGCAGTTCTGGGAGACGCATGCCGATGCCAAGTACAACCACAACCTCCTCCAGAAGCATCTGCAGGCGGAGGAGCAAGTCGCCGTTGGTAGGGTAGTTGCGCCAGATGCGGACCTGGCGGAGTAGGAGCCGTTGCTCGAGTCATATCGCTCCGCCCAAGAGGTCCGCCTCGTCCGCTGGTGGTACCGGCAGCGAGTGTCGGAGGTGGCGAATGCCGGCAATGAGTGCGACGATGATGCGGGTGAGGCGTTGTTCGACGACATCGATGAGGAGGACATCAACGAAGCCTGCACATCCGCGGGCGCCGCCGGCAGCGAGAAAGAATAGTGCTCGGTAGGTCACCGCTGCTCGTATCCCAGGAAGGCCACAACTCTTCCCTCCTGTCGATGCCAAGTTTGGTGGACTGAGCATCTTGGATTGATTAGTCGCTTGGCCGCGACGCCGTGGAGATCGAGTGGAGATCGAAATATTTTTGCGCGTATACCAGGTTGAGTACACCGTACACAGTTTGAGTTTGTGGTGTTTACGTGCCGTCCATCGTAGCCAGGCCACATATGCGTGCATGCACTGGCAAAACAAGAGCGATGATGACATCATGAAGATCTTACAAGTTTATAAACTACGGAGAAAAATAGCGCCCTATATAAAATAGGGTTGCCCCTAAAATCACACTACTATAACGTGCTATTAGCGAGACATTATAAACTGATTTATTTAGCTAGACAATTTTATACACGCTATAATGTGCTATTAGCGACGCTATAGCATGCTAGTTTTTTTTTCCTGTGGTTTACACTAGAAGATATCTTCACTCGCAAACCATGAATCCAATTTACCGTCCATCTCCGTTGTTGGCTTTTCCTCTAATGGACCCTGAAAACAAGACCTAGCACTGGTATATTTCCGTGACCTCTTTTTTTCAACTTCAAAGTTTTTTTTGGGAAAACCCTTTGATCTATCCATCCACTGCAAAGATAGCACAAAGAACATCTCAAAACTAAAAAATTACACTCAAATATGTAGTCTACATGCACTGGAGCGAGCCGAAGATTCACCCCCTCATCGCCTCTCCCCCACAAGAGTCGGGCAAAACCAAGAAATAAAAACGATTCAAAACAAAGAAAACCTGTTGAAAAGAAAAAAAAACAATGAAAATCAAGAAAAAAGCAAAAAAGGATGAAAATTTTAAAAATATGATTGAAAAGAAAGAAACCATTGGAAACAGAGAAAGAAAAAAAAACAAGAAAAGAAGAAAAAACTAGACGGACATGAAAAAACCCGGTGAGAAACAATAAAAAAACCAATGCAGAAGAAGAAGAAGAAGAAAAAACAGAGGAAACCGAAGCGAATAGAAACGAAATCACCAGTTGACGAGTACTTGTTGCGAAGATCACTCCAACCTTCCCAGGTTGCGACAAGTGGCGTTTTCCCTTTTTTTTCATAGATCCGTTTATTAAAAATGTTTTATTCTTAAACCGTGTGTCCAAATCTCGAAACGCTTTCACCGTTGGAATCCTCGCATCGAGATCTTCAAAATTAGATCCCATTTTGATAGGTTTTGACGAATTTTTTTTTCATGAAAAAATCGGACGAAAAAACCGAACGGGGAGCACAGGTTTTTTCCCTTTCCGGAAGAGGCATGCCTGTTCCTCTCACGGAAACATAACTGTGTCTCTCGCAGGAGCAAAACCGTGACTCTCGCAGAAGGAAAAAAAAGAGAAAACACGTTTTTTCTGTTTCCGAGGAGGCACGGCCTTGACTCTCGCGAAAGCACAACCGTGCCTCTCGCGGAAGCAAAACCGTGACTCTCATGAAAGAAAAAAAAACAAAAAAAACTCATTTTTTTTCATTTCCGAGAGGCCCGGCCGTGACTCTCGCGAAAGCACAACCGTGCCTTTCTCGAAAGCAAAACCTTGACTCTCGCAAAAAAAAAGAACATAAAACATGTTTTTTTTTTGTTTCCGAAAGGCATGGCCGTGACTCCCGTGAAAGCACAACCATGCCTCTCGCGGAAGCAAAACCGTGACTCTCACGAAATGAAAAAAACAAAAAAAACAATTTTTTGAGAGGCACGGGCGTGCCCCTCGTGGAAGCAAAACCATGACTCTCGCGAAAAAAACGCGTTTTTTTGCGTAAAAAAGTTTTTTTTGATTTTTTTATCTAAAAGCTAAGGAAGACCGGTGGAAAACCAAAACGTCGAAAAAACCCGAAGAAAAACCGTTAAAAAGCCAAAAATGCGTGTGAAAAAATAGAAATAAATAAAATCTGAAGGAACCGTCCAAAGCGCGACACGTAGCGAATAGCGGAGAGCGCGCCAAGTGGCGTTGATAGTTGCGAGGCTCCCGAAGGAGCGGTCGTTAGTTAGTTGCTCTCGAATAAAAACCAGCGGTGAGTGAGCAAGGTAGACAGGAATATGGACTGCCAAACTAGAAGGACATGAAAAAACCCGATGAGAAACGAAAAAAATACAGAAAAACCGACGCAGAAGCAAAAAAATAACAGAAAAAAGCAGAGGAAACCGAAGCGAATAGCAAACAGCGGCGAGCGAGCGAAGTATGCACAAATATGGACTGCCAACACTGTTCTCGCAGGAAATACTTCAGGCGAGAGACATGCTTACATCTCGCGTTGAGCGAGATATAGCTCTCACGGTAATCCGGCGGGTGCATTTTTCGGGTGGGTCCTATATGACGCCCGTTAGCGTCAAATCGGGGCAGCTTCGCTGAAGCGAACAGAAGCGAGTGACCGACACGGGCCGGCCCACTAGCAGCGAGGAGCCGGTTTTGGGAACTTTCTAGAAGGTTTCCTGAACCGGTTTTTCCCGGTTTTGTTTTTTCTTACAGGGTTTTCTGGTTTTCTTCATTATTTTTGTTTTTCGTTTCCTTCTTCTTTTTCTTCCTGCTTATTTCTCCCTTTTCTTTTCTTGTTCTATTTTTTTTTGTTTTTTATTTTTTTCATAAATTTAATATTTCCGAAAAAAGGTTCAGAATTTTCAGAAAAATGTTTGAGATTCCAAATTTTGTTCAAGTTTTTCGATTATTGTTCCTTTTTCCAAATTTTGTTCAAGTTTCCAAAAAAGTTCATAATTCCCTTTTGTTCAACGTGTTGAAGAAAAATGTTCACCTTACATTTAGAAAATGTTTACTCATATACAATAATGTTCATCGTGTATAGAAAACTTTGTTCAAGTGCATTTGAAAAAATGTTCATCGTATTTAAAAAAATGTTCAGTGTGTATTTGAATAATGTTCATAGTATACTAAAAAAATGTTCAATGAGTATTTTAAATTCTTTTTTAAAAATTGTTCACAGTTAAAAAATTGTTCAGATTTTCGAAATTTGTTCACAATTTTAGATTATTGTTCCTTCAAATTTTGTTCACGTTTCCAAAAAAGTACGGAATTCCCTTTTGTTCACCGTATTGAAGAAAAATTAATATTAGAAAATATCCAATTTTTTGTCCAAGAAATGTTGAAAATGTTGAAAAAAACTCGTACCTGCGGCTTCTAGATTGTATATCAAGTACTGCCATATACTGCCGTACTCAGTCCATAGCTTAGCTGGCTAGCACTGCTAGTAGGCATCGCCAGGCGATGCGCTTTTCTTTTTGCAATTCGCTCGGCGCCTGCGAACTGGGCTGGCCCATTTGCGCGCTACCTTTAGCGAAACCAGCTCGTTTTGACGCTCACGAGCGTCGAACAGGAGATCTCCATTTTTCGCCACGAAGAGCTATTTTATATTTGGTGAGAAATGACGAACACGGGCTGCACTAGAGGGCCCAGCCCATAGCCCACAACAGATTTCCACGGGCCCAGAACGCACGCGGTGAACACAAAACCCGCCCGTCGCCCTCGCCGCCTCCTGCAACCCCACTCGACGGGTAGCCGCCGCCTGCCCGCCGGCCGGCGATGAGGGTGAAGAAGCGGTCGCGGCACCGCAAGGTGGTAAAATTCTACTCCACCTCCTTTGGCTTCCGCGAGCCCTACAAGGTTTTCGTCGACGCAGGGCACCTTCGTGCACCACCTCCTCGTCCACGGCCTGCTCCCCGCCGACGACGCCCTCCGCGAGCTCCTCTCGGCCGCCCGGGCGCCCCCGCTCTTCACTTCCAAGTGCGTCCAGGCTGAGCTCCGCCGCCTCGGCAAGTCCCACTCTCAGGCATTCGACGCCGCCCAGCTCCTCGCCACTGCCAGGTCCCCTTATATCCTCCTGTTTTTATTTATTTTATTTACAGTCATGAAATTCTAGTATGAAATTGCATTGGTCGTTGATGCAATTTCGAATATGAATCACTTTGTCTTGTCATATTAGTTACCTGATAGAATTAGAGCCAATTTGGGTTAGGGCTGTCTGAAAACCCACCAATTTGAACTGCTCGTTAATCAGAACCTCCCGGTTTGTGCTTATCCTATAAATTGGCACTGTTTTGTTTGCATCCAATACTGTCAACTGCAAATAATGTAATGGAATCGGATCACATTGGTTAGTTTGGTTCCATTTTCCAACTATTCAACTTCATGCACGAACTGAAAAACATGTACCGACATTGTATCGCATTGGTTTTGTTTCATCAGTTTGATTGTATGAAGTACTGATAATATGTTTAGTCATTCAGGAAGGATAGTTTTGCTGTAGTTTGCAGCACTGATTGATCAATGGACTTCTGTTGATGTGTTGTGTGTATTTGTACCACTACTACATTCAGTAAAGATTTGTTTTATGGCATCATGACTTGCAGAGGCACTGATTGTTTTTTCTCTGGAATTTTATCTGTGTCTTCAGTTGCGAGCATGACAAAGTGGTCAGTGCAGTGGACTGTATCCTGTCCCTGGCCGGTGATAAGAATCCAGAGCACTACTTTGTCGCCACCCAGGATTCTGGTCTCCGGGCAAAGCTACGAGAGGTATGAAGATTTGCTATGCTTTTGTAGCATTCTACTTTTACCATATTATTTGTGAAAGAATTTGCTCAGGGACATTAGTACAGCCGACAAGTATCATATCATCTATCTAACGGAAACAACAGAAACAAATCTAGTTTTCCATCTTATCTTATCAACTTTTTGTGCAGCAGTGTGTTCATGCATGTTTTATTTTTCTGTAGGTCCCTTGTGTTCCTGTGATATACGGTCTGAAGAACTCCTTGTTTATTGAGCAACCATCCATGCAGCAACGTAAGTTTGCTCAGTTGGATGAGGAGAAGCGTATTCATATGGAAAAATCAGAATTTAAGAAGCTATTGAAGGCGTCATCGGAAGGAAAGACATCTGTCGATGGAAACACACATGGAGTGGCAGAGAAAAGCAAGTTTAAAAGGAACAGAGCAAAGGTTATATTTACATAAACTGTTTTTCAGGATATTCGTCATATGCACGTTTAGTGGGCATCACTAACATTGGAGTTATGAGATGCTGATGTGTGTCCTTCCGCAGGGCCCAAACCCACTCTCTTGCAAGAAAAAGAAACCAAAGCCCGAACCGTCAGCTGCTCAAAATCAGGTAACTAAACATCGCTAGACAGCATTTACATCTGTAAGCTGTATGTAATAGTTGAAACATGCAGATTATGCGTGCCTAATTCAATGTTTCAACAGCAAGCTTGGAGTTGCATGGCTTATATTGAGGTGTAGAACTGAGAGTAGGATGTATAAGAGATAATGCAACAACTTCAATCTTAGATAGGCTACTGAAGCCGTTTGCACTTCTTTTTTTTTGGCTGTAACTCCTGATTTCAGTTATACTGGGATGTGCATGACTATACACTGGAAGCACATGTATCTGAAAAGCACGAGCACTGATGAGTACATATTTCCTTCAGGGTCCGAAGGATGATGGCGAGGCGAAGAGGAAGAGGGTTAGGAAGCGCAAGAGAAGCGGCAAAGACAGCAGTCAAGCGGAAACAGTGAGCTGACACACCTGCGTAGAAGTTGCAAACAGTGGTGTGTTTGCAGCTCTGGCTTCAATTCGAATCCGTTGCACCCCTTGCTGATGGGTGTTTCTTCAAATGTCATACATAACCGTCAGTCAACTTGATAGACCATGCATCGTCGCTGGAGGACTGCTGCTGTAACACTGGTTTGGACATGTAAAATTTGTCCTGGTTTGTAATTTTTGTGAGTTTATTCAAAATGCTTTAACCTTGTATTTCGAAGAAACCAACGATCTGAGATCGGTTTCAGTTTCCAGTCTTTTCCTTGCGTCATAGGTGGCATGGCAAATTTTATAAGTCATCATGTACAGGTGCCCTGAGCCGGCATGACCACAATTTCAAGGATTTGCAAACAGTTCAGAAACAATGTATACTCAAAATACTGATGAAAGATTATTTCTTAACAGAAAATAATACAGCTCCTTCAATTTACCTTGGATGAGTCGGAAATATCATCCCGGACGAGACGAAATGCAGTTGCAGGAAAATACATCAATCGTTGTTTACACTGGTACAAATACATTAACTGTTGAAAAAAAGAAATGTCTAATTCTCCAACTGGTAGTGTGAGAACAGCCACGGTTACAAGAGATAGTAATGCTCCATATATGTAATATACGCGTATTTGACACTCTTCAAGCAAATGGCGTTGGTGGTTGTGCCGGTGGTTCCAGTTTGCCACCGGCGTGACTCGTCAGGGCAATCGAACAGGCCACAGAAATAGGTGACAGGAATAATACTGCTGCAACTGGCCATGCCCAGACTATCCCGTACCATATCCCATTTCTCTTACAGACTGCTGCGAACAGAAAAAAATACTTGACTGCTGATTCCCGAATGTTATACACCATTATGAGAATAATGCTGAAGATTACTGCACATGCAGACATAGGAGCAACTCGACCTAACATGATAAGTGCAGCATCTGCGAAGGCAATCGTCATGCTGGACACTGAAATCAATATGATGGTGATGGACCTTCGAAATAGCACTTTCCGGATCCCAAGGGGTAAGGTGGGATCTCCAGAAAACATGAGAAAAACTGTAGCTGTGATTGAGAAAGCAAAGGCAAGTGTGTTGGTCATGAAGAATATATCAAAAGCAAACGTTCCAGCAAGAATTGGTGATCCTGCATGAGTGTCATGCTCATCTCTATAACCTCCAGGCATGGTGAACATTGCACCAAACGTCACGGTTGCAATTAGGACGGAGCAAATACATCGACTTTGTGTCCCCTCTTTCATTTGACTCAAGAAATGTATTTCATCCTGTCTTGCTTGGTCAGTATCAACTTCATTCAAGAAACCCTGGTGAGAAATACCCCTTTTAGCACCGACATAGTTGAGTACCCTGAGTATGTCTGCTTCACTTTCCTACAAAATTAGAATAAATAAAATTTAAACCATGCAAATCTCAATTACTCTTGTTCACCTCGAATGCCGTGTTTAAATATTTAAATGTTGATATATACCATTCCACTAGGAAGATTTTGACGGGCTATATCTGATGGAGTCTCCCCTTTCTCATTCATCAAATTCAAGTGTACTTGTCTATTCCCTAACAGAGAACAAAACATTCTCGCACTTCTTTTTCTTACAGCTATGTGGAGTGCAGTATTCCCATCTTTGTCTTGTATATTCAAAATCCATGACAGCGATATGTTTCGACAAGCATAGTCGACAATCGCTGTTTTCTTTCTGTCAACAGCAACATGAAGAAATGTCCTTCCCCTAGCATCAAGCAAGCCAGCGCAATTGTGTGACTTCATAAGAAAATCAGTGATGATCGATGTTGCACCAACGGATGCAGCCACGTGTGTCGGAAATGATCCATTGCGGTCTGGTTGATACAGTGCATCTGGATTGACTTTCAATAATTCTAAACATATGGGTTGGCTGTATCTTTTCCTTGGACACAGAATAGTTATAACAGCAAATTGGAGAGGTATACTTCCGTTTGCATCCCCTTGTAGTGTAAGGTCATTGTTCCATTCTAACAACATCTTCGTGAGATCTGTGAGTGGTGTCTCTCCGTTAAACCAATCAATATTAGAGAGCAAAAAAAAAACACTATGAAAGGAAATGTGTACATGCATGCATCAGTATAAGAAGTCAAGGTGATGTGCACTAGATTTTTACACACGGTGGTTAGTCAAGTGTTATGGTTCAGGATGTTGACTTGTTTGGTCTACTAACTTTATTTATGGTTGATCAAAGAGTTGTAAACTGGATGAACTGAAACAGAGTCTCTTCGTACACCTCTTCTCCAAGTTTTGTATGGGTGAAATAAAGTAGTTTCTCTGTTGCATACAAATACATCTTCTGGGTTGAATAACATTATAGAATATCTAAATTTTACATCTTTCACCTAATTTGGATCGTTTTTTCCTTTTATTGCGACAGGAGTTCACCTAAATCTCATTAACGGAATCATATTATAAGGGTTACATCCCCAAAAAAGATGACCGGTCTTCAGGACTAACTAAATATCCTTCTTAGATGTCTCGTTATGGTAAATTTTGAACCTAACAACACACTAACAGCCTGGATGCAGATGGTAAAATAGTAATGAGGCAAATGTATGCTAAATAGTATCCAGCTCTATCAAAATATAAGACTTTTATCAGTCTCAAAAAACGTCTTCTATTTTGATACAGTGGTAGTACTACATATATCTAAGAGATCTCTACGTCTAATAGTGGTAGGTGAAATTCAGATTAAAGTCGGTACCTTGGCTCCGCTGAACAGCAACGTGCAACGCATTTCGTCCATTTAGTCCAGAGTATGAAAGAACCCCACCGCTCAAGTCATGTAGTGTTTTGGCAATGATTCCATTTTCTAGTAAGATGGCAAGATACAATGGCGAAGTACCTTCAGCAGGAATGGTGGCCAACTCTGGATCATGGGCCATGAGCAAGCTGACCATATCATTGCTCCCAAAGCGGACGGCCTCATGCAAGGCTGTCTCTTTGAGCTTGTTTTGTGTCTCCAGCAGCCCTTTACCATTGTTAATACCCTGACCATTGGCAAGGTCAATGAAACGAGACATCATCGGGATGTTCCCCGCCCGTGCAGCAAAGTGCAGGGGTGTGTCTCCCCCGTTGTTTTGCACAAACAGGAGGCTGGGTGCCTTGCCGTAGACGAGATTGGCTTTGTTCAGTAAGTCTTCAGAGTCGCCATGGCTAGCAGCGACCACATGGAGAAGAGTATCACCTCCAAAGGTAACCGCGTAAAGAGCAGGTGGCTGTGCCGCCGAGCTTCCGGGGGTGTAGGCGGCTGATGTCCCGTTGAGGAGTGATTCCAGATCATGGAAAGAGCCAGAGCAGGCCACTGCTAGCAGCCGGGCATCCATCCTACCCTCCATGGTGGCTGCCGGTGGAGGAGCAGCATTTGCCACGACGGGTGAGCTCGGAGCTGCCAGCAGGGTGCTGGACGCCATTGATCACCAAGACGAACGAGGTGGAAGTGGGAGTGAGAGAGGATCAACTAGGGCTGGTCTGGACTACAATGTAGTGGAGAAGAGGAGTGTGCGTCCAAGCTGTGCCTGGCGATGTCTATATGTAAACAAGAAATGCGTGTAGAGGAGCAAGCAAGGAATGCAGAGGGGTGGGTGGGGTGAGCTGAGCAGGAGACGACCGCGGCGACTTGGGGTCAAAGCCGTGTCATCACCAATAAAATAGCCGTTCCCGCTCTACTTTTCATAAACCTTTCACAGTACCGTCCCATAATTTAGACTCACCACTAACCGGCTGTCTCTAATAAGATAACCCTTCTCCCTCCTGCTTTAAAAACCGTTCACATAACTTTAGCACCCAGGCATGTTTTTAGTTACAGATTTAGATCTACAACAGACAAGGTCCCTTATTAAAGGGAAAAAAAAAGCGACGAGGAATCCCGGGCGTTCGAACACCTTGCGGTACTATGACTTGGAGCTGGTACACACCGCTGCCACCTCCATTCTGGATATAGGGCATGCATGCTTTTAACTTTTATGATATCTGATTTCTACAATGTCAATTTCTAATTTATAATAAATCTAATGATATTGTTTTTTAATTTTATATAGTGATATTTTTATGGATGTGACTAGCCAGCAACCGTTGGCTGGCTAGCGGTCCAGGGCACACACCCCAAAATAGGTAGTGGGCCTTTCCCCGGATCCAGCTGGCAAACCAAAAAGGAAACAAACAGCCCCCTCGCGCACATGCCCCCCAGGGGAGAATCATACATGATCGTAATTTCTGCTCCGCGTAAGGGACACGCCGACGCACCAAACCCCGCCTCGCCTCCTTCCCCAAGTCGTAGCCCCCCAAACCTGCCCTTCTCCGTCTGTCCTCTCCTCCATTGCCACAACTTGGTCATTGATCTAAGATTCAGGTGTTCCTGAATTCCTAACCCACAACCTCTGCTTGCCCTCGGCTCGCAAAAAAAAACTCTGCTTGCCCTTCTTCAACGAATCCAACACCTGGAAAGTGAGTTTCTGTCTTGATGTGTCCTCTAAGACGCCTCCTCTTTTACAAAACTCTGTGGAACCAAGGGTGTATCAGTGAGGGAATATACAAAGAACATGGCAGTTAAGGTTTCTGAAACTGCAAAAAAGAACTACTGAGACGTTATGCATGCAAAAAAATGTGTCTTTTTTTGGCAAGTTAGTATGATGTGCAGGCAAGTCTGGAATGATTTTCATGCAACTCGTGCTGAAAACACAAGGAAAACCCTCTCTTAAAAGTATAGTTCTAGTTTATGCTTGGATTTTTGCAAGTATCTGCATAGAATTGTAGGTTGCGCCAGGCTGTTGTTTTTTGGTTGATCTTCAAGCTTGTCAAAGCTGTTGGGCAAGTTGTGTATATGTGTAGGCAATCAGGGAGGAAAAAATGCAGTCAACTAATGTTTCTTGTGTGGTAGAAAAATAAATTAAGGAAAAAAGAAGTCTTGAAAGTTACAGGGTTTGGCTGTTACTAGTGAATTTTTGGGCAAATATCT